AAAAAAAAAAAAAAAAAAAAAAAACCAAATCATGTCTGGTTGTCCTATATGAGTTAAATCGCCTGAGGTTGTTATATAAGGACGTGATGTAATCCCTTAACATTGAGATATTACCTAGATTCTGCTTCGGATAAGGATATACCCGCATGTGCAGCTCTCAGAGCACCACAATCATTAGCACCATCTCCACACATCGCTAGAATGTTTACGAAACATTTTGAAATGACTATTCTATAGGGTAATGAAATTAATGTACGGTAATATTAAATAACGATGCATACCGACATAATAACCAAGTTGCATTAATTCTAACACTAATTGTTGCTTCTGATCGCTAGTCATCCTGGCAAATATTGCGCCACGGACGCAAATTTTTGCTACGATATCAGGATAGTGCTCACGCAACAATCGCCATGATTGACCCGTTAACGCAAACCGATAATTGGTACTGTCCATATTTCGTTCTATATCTTTCAAGTTTGATATGTTAAGTTTTCTATTATGAAGGTTCTGAAAAATATGAAATAGTCAGATCTTTTTTTAATTTTTCTGCAGATCAATTTTAAAACTTTCTGATAGAATTAAAGAAATTTACTAATTTCGGAGACGTTTCTTGAGCATTGAAATAAATCTCAGGCTGTAATTTATTTTCCTCCATAACTACTGTCACGTCTATCACAGATTCTTGCGGCGACAAAATGCCACATTCTTTTGCAACGCTCACTGCAGTCTGAATGTTATCCCCTGTAAATGTGAAAAGCAAATAAATCATTTCGCTACAACTGGTAATTCATTCTATGTTGAAATATCAATGTACGGAAATTGCTAAACTCTAATTACCTGTAATCATCAAAACATGTACGTTAGCTGTTCTCAACTCTTTGATAACCGGTATAGTTGGTGATTTCAACCTGTTTTCCATAATAATTAAACCTAGAAATTCAAGATTTTGTTCAACTGCATCTCGAGGCAATTTTGTTATCTGTGCAGAATATAGAAAATTTAATTGAATATTTATAGAAATTGAAAGTTTATAGAAAGAAATATCAAAATGATTATTCTTCTACCTCATTAGTGTTTTCGAGTAATTCTGTTCGTCCCACAGCTATCACTCGGTAACCTTGTTCTGTGTAATATTTTAAACAGACCATTACATCTTTCGGTATAGTTTCAGGTTTGCTTAAACTAAATATCATTTCTGGTGATCCTTTTGTGTAGGCTTTGAACATATTCGAACTACGTATTATCACAGACATTCGTTGGAGAGAGCTTGAGAATTGATATTGTTGCACTATTCCAATTTCCGAGATTTTATTCATATTTTGTGTGAAATTATTGTTTTTTGGCGGTTTCATGATTGTCGATGCTATAAGATCACATTTATCTGAATGTTCATTATTAAACTCTTCTAATATCCATCCAGTACTTTGAAACATCTAAACCAATCAATAATGACTCATTTCTTTTTTTTCAATGATCTTTTGATCCAAAGATTTCTTCAACATAATTACAATTATTATAATTAGTAATGATAGTTACCTTAACGTCCAAAGGATCTCCACAGAGTACACCATCTATTAGTGTTAAACTATGACAAACTAACATTCCCTCAAAAAGAGGATGATCATTTAATTTGGAAATAGTTCTTTCGGCTTTACCCAGGATACCATTTGTGCAAGGTACAATACCCCACATATCCAAACCATCTTCTGTTAAAGTACCAGTCTACAGGAACAGGTAAAGAATAATTAATTAATATTATATAATATTTTCAGATTTAAATTACACAAGTTATATAGATTACTATATTTTTTTTACCTTATCAAAACACACGCAATTTATACTACCAGATACGTTAATAACTCTATTGTTAATGCAATATATTTGTGCCCGTTTCAATCGTACTTGAGCATATAATTTTCCCACCGTCATTGCTGCTGGTAATGCCGGTGGAATTACTATTGTTATTATATCCAAGGCTTTTATTGCTATATCTCCGGCTGTAATTCCTCTGGAGGCCTAGAAAAAGAAGAGCATTATTTCTCTAATATTTTCTTCAAAATTAAAGTATAAAATATAAAAACACCTTAGTCACAATAGTGTAAATGAAACCGCATGTCGCGATAAGAGCTAATATGCCAATAAATTTATAAGAATCTTGATCGAATTTAAAATCTGCAGGAGGTGGATATAAAATGGCTGCGACTAAAGATCCTTTACTCGTACGAAATCCTGTTCGAATAACTCGAGCTAGAACCGGCCGGTCGTTGTAACTTCTAACAATAAATTCGCATTAGTAACAATAGTTTATAATTTATAACAGCAATTATACAAAGTTCAAATGTAATACCTTGTTTGAATAATAGTAGTGCCGCTATACATCGTATGATGAGAACATTCTTTAGAGTCGTATAAAACGTGATGCGATGGCAGTGGAGTTTTCGTTACTGGTACAGATTCCCCTAAAATTTTATCCAATAAAGAAAAACTAGTAAATAAATAACTGTACGAAGTTACAATTTCAAGTATGGAAGTATGTGAACACTTGTAGAGATACCTTTTACGAGTATATAATACAATATCTGTTTTATATATGAAATATTTAAAAATTTCAATGTATACGTAATAATACGTAATAAATACAATACAAAATACTAATACTACAATAAGATCCGACAATTATGATTACGAATTTGTGCCTCTAATAATAATAATAGTAAAATTTCAAAACTTTTACATAACATGCATAATTTATATATGAAAATTCTTTGCGATAAATATTCAATACTTTCGTGAACTACCATAGTATATTGCAAAATATGTAATTTCTAATTAATCATACCAGTTAACATCGATTCGTTTAAAATGCATTGTCCTGTTAAAAGTACCGCATCGCAAACAATAGTAGCCTGATGCTTGGGTAATTCTATGACATCACCTGGCACTAAATCATTGCTCGGTATATTCTCTACTTTAGAGTTTCTGTACACCCGAACTGTTTCCCTAGATGTAACTGTACCACGTAGATTAATTTGATTCTGTAAAATATTTATTATAATTGTATTTTAACATGAATACGTTTCAAAGAAGTTTTCAAAGATTTACATTTTGAGCCTTAGCTTTATTTATAAATGAACTCTGGATTAAAATTGCTATCTTACATACATATAATGTTCGGATATAATGGAATTACATACATTATAGAACAATTGTAGCAAGGTTAATAGTAGAAATAAATAATGGATCTTTAGTTTTCTTTAATTATTCAGAAGCAAATTTGAACCAATTCTTTTTAAATAGTAATTGATTTAAATTACTAGATATGAATCTGTAAAATTCTACTTCATAGACCCTCTATAAAGCTAATGTATTTTTTGATTAATTTTATTTCAAAATAAAATTCTTTTACATCATTATTACCTAAATAAAATTTGGCTCAAAACGTAGAAGAATTGTATAATAACGTTTTTACCTTACGAGTTTGTATTATAGAACTGATAATTCCAAACAATGACATACATATGATTGCTACGGTATAATATAAGTAGCCTTCTGCAAACCATACACACAAAGTGAAAACTTGAAAAATGTAAAATGGATTTAAAACTTCTAACAATAGTAGTACGCCTATGCTTTGTACAGGAACAATTATTTCATTGCTACCGTATACAATCCGTCTATAAAATGGAAAAAAAATATTTAAATGAAAATAAAATAATCCTTAATTTCGAATAACGCTTCGAGTATTAGAGAAAAATAGAAAATAATATAACATGCTGTTTTTGCTAGATTAATTAGTATAAATCTTTTGAAATTGTAAAATAATGTGAATGTATAAATCATTATGTATGTAAGATTTTTATCTTGTCATTACCTAAGACATTGTTCTTCTTTAGAAAGTCCATGATTCTTACTAAGATTAAGATCCGAGCATAGCGTGTACTTGTCTAAACCTACCAATCTCGAGAATGTATTTTGCGTAACGTCCCAGATATAACATTGTTTTTTACACCAAAAAGCTTTGTACTCATAAATTTGACACTGTGTACCATTTTCTAAATTAATCATCAATTTTTTATCTCTCATTTTCTCGGCGAGCTGTTTATCATTGCTACCTAAATCTTTCAATAAATTCTGTATACTGATAAAAAAAGAAAATTTGTTTGAATTTGAATAAAAATTATGTCGACAAGAAATTCAAAATTAAACTAACCTGATATTCTTTGCTGAAATAGTCTTCACATCTTCCACAAAGTATGATTTATATTTTCCTTGATAGTTATCCTAAATATGAAATTGTGTTCATGGTTATTTATCAAATAATTTAATTATTGAAATAAAATAAATCACGTTAGTTGTAAAAATTTATTTCTTTATGCTTTTGAATGGATGAATTTTAAAAAAGAAATTGGTCGAAAATTTTGAATATTTGGTACGATTGATTTTTATATTTAACGAAATTGACGAGGAATTTCTAAGTGAGGAACAGTTTAGAATTCTTACAGTTATAAGCAATTTTGTGGCACAATTCAAAGAACATTTATTGTGAGTAGCATAGAGGTGTAATTGAGGATACCAATGGAAGAAAAGTCTGACCCATCCGATGGTTAATATGTAAGAAACATAAGTCAGCATACTTTTCAATCTGCTCTTTTCGAATCCATAAACACACTAAAACCAACATATTGAGTTTAATCAAAAAAAATATATCGATGAAACTATATCATAGAATAAATCATTGTACGTATGTAGATATTCACCATATCTTCATCTTGACCAGTATGTATTTTTTGCCACTGCACTGCCGATGTTTGGGCATTCTTTATCCCTAAATAGAGAAAATCAAAACAATACAATACATTTAAAATAAAAATGCATTTATTTTATAAAATAATTGTTAATATTCGATACATAGAGTATAGTCGAATAGTAAGAGAAATTTTTCGAATATATATAAAATTTTGCTATTATATCGGCAAAAGATTATATAATGAATAACTTTCATTCGAGACATTCTTTTATATTTTTACTTCCGGAAATATCCAAAGTGGTAATTTTTATTGAACCACTTTATAGTTTGATGAAAGTTTTTATTCTTGATAATGACCTACATATCATAGAACGCGTTAAGCAAGGACTTACAATTAAACAAGAATTTATCGTACAGTTTATCGATATGAATCATTTGTGGTGTGATTTCTTCCATTCAGAAAATAATAATCAAATCAATGTCAATTAAAAACAAGCACTTCTCGATTCAACGGTAGAACTCGAGTGCAGATTTCTTACGTTATCGTTGCGATGAATCAAAGTTGTTCGCAAATCACTCGAAGCAGATAATTTCCCGTTAGAAATGATAATTCCTTGGCAAACAATATCCGGTTAAGTCGTGATAGTGCTCGTTATCAGGTCATCAGACGCTATTGCATCTTAAATGAAAAAAATACATATTTATACGGTTTCGGAAAAAAATTATCATTAACGATAGCTGACCATGAGATAATAACGATTCATTTTACCATTTGCAAATAAAAATTTTTTATATGCATTTTAAAATCGATTTAAAAAAGAACCAGCAAACATGTGGATCGATAAACTGTCGTTTATAAACAGTTGTTTTTTATTTTATCATTTAAACTTAGTTTTATTTACTTTATTATTTAATATTCATCAATATTATATTTTATTTCCTTCCGTGTTAAGAAGTCTCCATAGTAAGATAGATAACATAATAATAGTCGATATTTACATAAACTTATATTTTTATAAACGCAATTACAAAAATTAAATCTACATAGAGATTTATCTCATCAGTTAAGAATATAATATTTACAATATCAGATCACAATAAGTAATATTTCAGTAATAAGTAATATTTTGATTGTTTTACATACTTTTACATATAATAAACTTTTAAATTTCGACCCTATTTGTAATTTATATAATTACTTGATATATTTTCTATTTAATAAAAAATTTTGTTAAATAGAAAATTCGGAACCACATTCATAACGTTTTATGTCATTACAACTATTTTTAAAAGCAATAATATTTCCATCAAGGACTTATACCAGTAAGATTAAAAAAAAATC